AGAAGCATGAGGTGGTCGACGGTGAACGAGCATCCCTCAATCTTGCTCGCAAAGAATCGAAGAAGGATTACGATCCTCCAGAATGAATGGTGAATTTGACCGAGGCATACCTCGTATCTTTTGCAGAAGTCAATGATCACTGGATCCAATAGGCCCAGTGTAAAGGAATAAGTGTAAACACTTAAGTATCCCTCGACGTGGGTGGTGATGTATTCATCGGGTCCGGGAACCACCACGTGTTTGTCAACCTAATTGTAATCTTTTTTGATCGTAGGGAGGACCTCTTCAGTGATCGAGCATACGTATCTCGAGACCTCCTCACACCAGCCTTGCACGGGGGAAGGTTTTTCAACCTTGAAATCGGCAGTTACTGAGCATCCTCCAGGGATGAACATTCTCAATGGGGGTTCCAGTATTGGTTCCTCGACTGCAGTACGCAAAACGGTTTCCTCGGTAGCCGGCCGCGAGATAGAAGGAGTTTCTTTTTTGGGGAATAGTTTTTGAAGTCTTCGCCATATCTTTAAAAATGTAGGAAAATGAGGAAAAAGAGGAAGTTGAAGGAGTACACTTGATGGCTTGAGATGGAAACGAGCAAGGGTTCTTGCAAAGCATTTCAAGTAACCAAGTATAACTGCTAGAAAGTGTTGAAATTTCGAAGGTACAAGGGTAGAAGGTTTGAATGTAAAGTTGGAATGAACAAAGGAAGAGGTATTTATAGTATTTCAGTGGCGGTTCATATCCAGTAATGGCCGACCGGTGACTGACAGGAATTTAATACCATTAAGACTTGACTGACGAGGCATTTCGTTCGTTTTGTCGTTCTTGTCGCAGGGTATCAAAGTAAGAATCGGAAGCTCATGTTGTTTCTCGTCGTCTACTCTCCGAAAAACGAGGGGACTATCTGTATACAGTCAAAATCGAGCTCGCCTACGACATAATAAGTCAGGCTCGGAACATGGCAATAAAGGACTAAAGATCGACCCTCAATCCCACCGGGCTGGAACCCGGGGTTGGAACGCCTGCCTTCGAGAATATCAAGGTCGTGATTCCGAAATCGATCCTAGCCCCAATGAGCTCGAAGAAACATTGTTAGCATAATAGAAGACCGAAATATCCGCAACTGGTCGGATATTATGGCGGGAATATCGACACGTATCAATAAGGAACCGACAATAAGCAAATCAAGAGATTTTTACCTTTTATAGAATTGTACCTAAAGTAGGATTCCGCTACTATATAAAGGGGAGTCTGATAATTCATTCAACACATTGTAACACACAATCTAAAGCAATACATTATTATTATTATTATTTTCTTTAAGCTCTTATTCTTCTGTGTCTTGATACCGATCGAAGTGCATTCAGCTCGAGTGTGGCTAACCTTCCAAAGCTGAAATTGTCCAATTCGTGTGGTTTGCATTTACTTTATCATTATTTATTTCAATTGCAATCTAATTTATCATTTTGTGTCAAGTTAATACACATATCCTTAAAACCACTTACAAATTCAATTGTTATCTGATTTTGAGGATAAATAGTGAAGTTAAGATTTTTAGTTTAAAATTTCAGGACAAAATAAGTACTAACTAATCTTTAAATAGCAAGAATGGCGATTTGTGCACTTGGCCATATCTTTATAACCACAAGGGTAGATCTAACAATAACCATAAATGGAGGACAACTGTGAACCATTTGCAAAGTTCAGGGCCAATTTGTACCTTTGCCCTTTAAATAAATCCTCTTTCTCTTTGAATTGGCGATGAACCCTAAAGAGTTTAAAGGTCAAATTGAAGTCTTGAAAAGTCCAGAACAGCTGAAGATTTGACATCATCGCTAATCCTACGTCTTGGTAAGATAATTACTTAAAATGTTAATCTCTCCTTTTAATTGGTGTTTAATGCAATTATAGGTTCTGTGTGGTTTGCAAAATTAATACTATTAAAACTACTAATGTGATGTTCCAATCCAGCAAAACACAGCTTCTTAAGCTTAATTTTGAAAAAAGACCAAATCTTGGAAATTATTCTGGTTTTTATTCTTTTGAATTTATTTCTGTTCTTTGCATTTTTCCTTTTGAACCCAAAAATGTATTTATGAATTATTGATAGAAGGTTGTTATTGTCTTGAGCATGCAATTAATGGATATTTAGTAGAGGTGTTAGAAATTATAATAGCCACTCTGTTAGCAAATTAGACGTAACAGCCCAGCCCGCTAGTGATATTATCCGCTCTGCGCCTAGGTCCTCATGGGTTTAAAACGCGTTGCTAGGGTCTAAGACTTGTCTACTTATATACCCAACATCTCTCCCGTGTTTTGTCGATGTGGGATTCGCCTAAGGTGTCACATTATAATATCTGTATCACATTGATACTAAGAGGAGATAGTTGACTGACATGAAGGGTCAAAATTTGATATATAATCTTTGTAAATTTAACTGTAGGGTATAGTTTATCTTTTTTTTGTTTTCCAAAGAGATTCATCAAGCTTCAACTTTATAAGTCTACACCAGTGATACCTCCATTTTTTCGATAAGATGCTTGTCCGCACAGCATCTTTACAAGGCAAACGCATCAGAATGACATTGATTACATTATCAGGAAGGTTGCTAATGACGTCAGGACCTAAACTTCGACGATTCTTTCTTCCTTTAGGAGGCATCATATAAGAATAATCACCAAGAACCTGCAGAAAATAAGCAAAAATACAAAGTAAGGAATGCATCTTTATTTCTTTTGTTGGTTCGACAATGTGAATAGTCGTTCTGTCCAAATAGTTTGGAGATTCCTTACTTTGTATTTTTGCTTATTTTCTACAGGTTCTTGGTGATTATTCTTATATGATGCCTCCTAAAGGAAGAAAGAATCGTCGAAGTTTAGGTCCAGACGTCATTAGCAACCTTCCTGATAATGTAATCGATGTCATTCTGATGCGTTTGCCTTGTAAAGATGCTGTGCGGACAAGCATCTTATCGAAAAAATGGAGGTATCACTGGTGTAGACTTACAAAGTTGAAGCTTGATGAATCTCTTTGGAAAACAAAAAAGGATAAACTATACCCTACAGTTAAATTTACAAAGATTATATATCAAATTTTGACCCTTCATGAAGGACCCATTACTAAGTTCAAGTTCGACATTGTTGATTCAAAAAGATGTCCTACGATTGACAACTTCATATATTTCCTCTCGAGGAATGACATTCAACATCTTGTTCTTCACTTTCCATGGCATAAGATATACAAAATGCCTTCTTCACTTTTCGAATGTTCGCAGCTGAGGCATTTGACTCTTCATGATTGCTCAATACATCCTCCATCGGGCTTTAAAGGATTTTCAAGTTTAGTTAGCCTGGAACTGTGTAGGGTCACAATTTCTTCTGAGTTGCTGGAAAGTTTAATAAATCATTGCTCGTTGCTTGAGCAATTGGTGTTGCAATTCTCAGAAATTTTAAACATAATTGAAATTAATGCCCCCATGCTGAGATCCTTTGAATTCACAGGCAGTATAAGTTCTCTCTGTCTAAAGAATGTCCCTCTTCTGAAAAAGGCATCTCTGGACTTATGTCAAGGTTCTTCTATGGAGGCGGAGAATTTTTATCTTGCAAAATTTTTCGAGTCTTGTTTTGCTCTCGAGCACCTCCGCTTGTACTTCTTTGGTGATAAGGTAGATGTTGCTTTATGATTTCATTGTTATGCACGTATTAACACATCAAACTTCTTTTGGGCTGAGTCATCTTGAATTTTGATATTCTTTTTCTTAGTTTGATGATGCAGAAGCAGATGAAGCACCAACAAGGCTTCCCTTTGATCATAACCGTGTCAAGCGTTTTTATTTGCCTGGTATGATTATGAGGGAATCATATGAGTTGTCATATTATCTTTGCTTGATAAGAAGCTTCCCATACTTGGAATCATTCGAAACTGAGGTTCTTAGTACTTTGATTCTTTTCTCTCTTTCTTATTTTTTAGTGGCTCTTTCTTCATACTTTTTAGATCCTCAATAATCTGGGAGTTGACTTCTTTTTATGTTTCTTAGGTTCTTAATCGACATGATGATGATGTTGTAGAATCGCTTGAACTCGAACGTTTCTCGGATGTGACATTTAATCACCTCAAGGAAGTTAAGCTAAAAATCTTTTCAGGAATAACACATGAAATGCAGCTTATCAAGCTTTTCTTAGCCAAGTCCCCAGTGTTGGTAAGAGTGCTAATCGATCCATTGGATCTATGTAACATAAATCTCATATCTCTTGACAGTAGATCAGAAATATTCGCTGAATTCTCAAACTTTTTCCGTGCATCACCTAAAGCAGAAGTAGTCTACATATTTTTAGATAACGAAACAAGTTGATTTAATCAGATCATGAACTTTGACTGAAATGTTTTGGAAGCTACAATTGAACAGATTGCAACAAATGTTGATGTAGTAGTATAACACTGTGTTTTGCCTTGGCGTAATAGTTAGAGACGAGTGAATATCTGTTTCGCAACATGAGCATTTTTGGATGAAAGTTTGGAGTAGTTTGTTCTCTAATAACATTGTCAATCATATGTTAAGGATTTATACATTTACTGCCTGCTCATGAATGATTTATGGAATGTGACATACACATGAATTGATACAGGAGTGGTATTTTTTTTTTTTTTTTTTTTTTTTTTTTTTTTTTTTAATTATGGTGTGGTTCAGGCTAGCTTGCGCACATGTTTGCATATAACAATCTTGAAGCGCCTCGCGTCTATTGCTCGTAAGGTAGAGGCATGGAGATTTGATATTGGTATGAATTTTATAGTTTCACTAGCTAGCACATATGCTTCATTTTCTTTTTGTTGAAAAAATTACTCAATATGTTATATAATACTTAATTATTCATTTAATCTCCTATATTGTTTACTTTTTCCTTACAAAAAATAAATAAATTAATCTCCTATTTTGTGGAGCTTAATCCATTTTCAAGCCGAAGTAAATTGTTCATATTCACTCATTTTCTTAATACTAGTGTTAGAATCCATGCGATACGCAGAATGTCATTTTCCCAAAGGTATACGATATCCATATATTGACGCAAGGCATGCACTAATTACTAAACCACGTCTATGTAAAGTTATTTTTTATTTAATTTTTATACATTGAATCCACCACTATCTTGTTATATATTCCCTATAAATCTGTCCAAAAATTTCATCTGTTGAACGTAAATTGTTTCAGTGTGACTTTCTCAACAACTTTCTTCATAGAAAGTGTATCTGAAAAAGGAAGAAAAGAAGTCCAAGAACGAACCATGAAGACATTATACCTATACCAAAATATATAGTTGAATTTTCCTTCCAAGTGTTTGTGCATTAAACACTAAAATCTTTCAATATTTTTTCAACTTTCCATATATTAAACACATGTTGATTAACTTTAAATACCTCTATGCATTCATTAGAAAGTATTAGTTCGAAAAAGAAAAACATGGATAATCACAAACCTCGTCGAGTTTTGATGTTTCCATGGTTGGGAAATGGACATATTTCTCCATTTTTCGAGTTAGCCAAAAAGCTCAGTACAAGAAACTTCATTATTTACTTGTGTTCTCACCAGTAACCCTAAACTCCATTAAGAAAAAATTTAATTCAGAATTTTCACAATCAATTCAATTTCCCATTAGAAAGATTTGTTAGAGATTGCTTATGGGTTGGAAAATAGTAAGGTGAATCTCATATGGCCTATAAGGTTCCAAAAAAGAGAAGATGTTGAACTTTGAAGAGGCATTACCTAAAGGTTTTCTTAATAAGGTAGGCAAAAGGGGAAAAGTTTTTAACAACTTGTTTGGATGGTTGTTATGTATCGTTTTATAATGTATCATATTGTATTGTATCGTTTTGATATATACAATATTTGGATAAATTTTATTGTTTATCGTCATTTCATGATGTCATACACCAACAATGTGAAGATTAAACTTGCAATATTATAAATTAAGAAAAAGTAAGGTATGAGATAGAATTATTATATTAAAAGGTAGTGTAAAAGATAAAATAGGAATATTTAATAAAAGAAACGGCAAGATGAGAAAAAGAGAAGAAGGAAACGACGCAGCCACACCAAGTCGGTTGTTCAATAAAGTGGCACTTTTCGTCGTTATGTAACGACAGATTTAACGATATCAAAATAAATATTATATTTAAAGTAATAATACTATGTAATACAACAGGTAACATCCATCCAAACAAGATGTAAAGGATGGGGCACCATAAGCTAAAATATTGGAACATTCGAGCGTTGGCAGTTTTGTGAGTCATTGTAAATGGAGTTCTATATATATACATATGGCTTCTAGTATTTTTTTGGGTGTTTAGAAAAGACATTACTATTTTAGTATTTTTTTGTTTTGATGGTTAATGCAGAAGGTTTGTTTTGTGGCTCTACTAGCTTGGATTAATCATACTAGCTAGTCTTGAAGTTTATTTTGTTAATTGTTATTAAAGTATAAATTAGTCTTCTATATTTCCTACTATTTTCCAATAAGCATTTACTAGAATGATCTATGTGCAATGGTGTCAAATCATGAAAACAACTTTGTTATCTCTTCATTATTTTAACCTTTCCAACTCTTGTTTTTTTTGAAAAAAATAATTCAGGATATAAAGATTCCTATCTTTTTAATAAGAGAATAATCTAAAGCTGCCAAGACATAAAAAGCCTGAATAGTTGAATAACATGCGTATCTAATCAGAATAAATTTAGTTGCATTAAATTCGGTAAAAAGATTGATCTGTCAATATATTGACGCAAGACATGCACTAATTAACCCTTGTCTGCGGAACATTTTTTTCAAAAACGGTACTTTCTCAATCACTATTAATTTTTTAATTATTATTATTATTGTTGTCGTCGTTAGCAGCCAGCTGTGGTGCATTTCAGCTAATTTTATAGGTTATTTCCTATCAGTACAGGTATGAGTTAACTTTATCCATCAAATCTTAGACATATTCGAAGAAATTATATAGTATTTTTATTTCTGTTAAAATTTGAACTTGAGACCTCAGTCAGTTGATCACTTGATCCCAACATTAAATACATATAGTATTTCATTTAGAGCTATGAAAAATATATTTTCAATCACCTAAAGATAAATTGTTCAGTGTGACCTTCTCCACTAATTCTATCTTGATAAAAAGTGTATTTGACAGGGCATACTTTTATATTATTTCAGCAAAAGTATCTCCTAAATCTTCTTCTCTTTTAATCTCCTCTTACTAGTGGTATCAAACTTTTATAGTTGGATGTCACTTTCCTCTCTAATCTTACTTATTTTACCATTTACTCATTCGTGTTTAAATCTCACCCATGAATAATTTATTGGATCATTAATTATCATTATTGTTCCTTTTGTGTAACAATCTATCCTCTCGAGCCGAGGTCTTTTGGAAGCAGTCTTTCTGCCATCCACGATAGGGTTAAAAATTAAGATCTGCATATACATTACCTTCCCCAGACCCTACTTATAGAATTTTACTTGATTGTTGTTGTTGTTGTTGTTGTGTAACAATCGAATATTGTTCTGAGCGTAACTCGTGATGTATAGGTGATCGTGATTAGGCGCATGTTACGTGAGTTATGAACCGTATGCCACTAGCCCTCGACCACTACATACTATGTTCTTCCAAAAAGAAAAAACAAAGATGACAAGATGACTAGATATTCGACTTGGGCGCCAAGAAAGTATGATGTTATTTCAAGATCACGGGTCCCACTATTTTCAACTGTAACTTCAGTACCTTCCCTCTATATTTCAAGAAAAACTTGCATTTGTCTCTTGCTTCTTTCCTTATACAGAAACCTAATTCTAAGCATTTCTTATCTACACAAATGAATCTGCAACAAAGTGCAGCTATTTTTTCTGTAATCCCAATTTTAGGCTATGTATTACACACCCTATTCAATGTTCTATGTAATACTGAACACTCCAAAGCTAAAGATGAGATGGAATTGGAGAATGATGCAGCAACCGCTGGTAATATAGCAGCTCAGAAACATTTCAGGCAACTTCAACATTTTCGAGGAGCTTAATATAGAGCTGCTACACAATTGCTTCAGCGGGAGCTCGCTGTCAGTATTGAAAACGTCCTTAGTTCCTCGATTTTTTTTGTGATGCGAAATCTATAAATAGCTAAATAGTTATTTGGTACTTATTCGAGCATAGTTGTAGAAGCAGTGGCGGATCTTTAGTATTGTATATGGGTTTTCGGGAACCCAATAACTTTTGCGTGCATCCTATATTTCTATTAAGTAGGTTAAGGTTTTTACTACTTCCGGTTTAAAATAAGCGGCGTTTGTTAAAATTATTTGATTAAGTTACTCTTTAGATCTCAAATTACTCTTTATTGATCTCTGCTCAAACTTTTTAGAACATTTATTAGAGCTAGGTTAGCTTTGAAACAAATAATTATTGCATTTTTTTTTATAAACACTTATTTTGGACCAAATATATATGAGTAAAATGACACTTTGTTTTGGACTCTTTAATTTGTGCTTGAGTAACTAAAATATTCTTTAGGCACCATCCCAATGATATTACCTTTCATTTATTTCTTCACTATAGAGATGTCTTGAGAATGGTTGCTCGTTGAAAATGAAAAAAACCTAAAAGAATTAAATTGGTGACAAAAATAAAATAAAATTGGACAAACACATGAAAGTAAATTAGTGAGTTTAATAAACCATTTATTTCGAAATAAATTTTTATTTGAAGATTATGCTGGTAAATAGAAGATTACATTGACAATGTATATAATTATATTACTATATCAGTGAAATTAAATTAAATATAGCAAGTTGTCATTTTATTTACCTGACTACCACATCAAACTTATTAAAATATTAAATATTATTATAAGTCAACTAAACCCGATGATATAAAAATCCATTTACCGTAGTACACGAGGCAGCTAGAAGTTCGACTAGGGGTTTAGCCAAACCAATGGCTTTTGCTCAATGGTGTATTGTGTTAAAAAATAATTAAATATATATGTACAAATATTAATTTTAGAACCCAATTATTAGGATTTGAAGTCGTCTTCCTAAAGTTCAAAACTCATAAATTAAGTTGAAGTCCTGACTTCACCTCTGTCAGCACATACAGAGGCGGATCCAGAATTTAATAATTACGGGTGTTACTATCATTAATGCGAACTAACCATTAGTAAAAGAGATTGAATTAGGATGTACATTTAGTCAGTTAGATCGCTCTGAATTAATTCAATTTGATGTACATAATTTTTGGTTCATAAATAAATACGTGATCACCAAATCGAATAGGTTTATCCAATTTAATCTAATTCTCTTGATTCAATGTGATTAAAAAGTATAATTAAAAGTAAGAATTTAAAATTAGCAACTACACACCTTTAATCCACATATAGTTAGATTAATATTATCTCTATTGATCCTATCATCATTCTTAAAAAGTTTTGCAAATCAAGAAATAAAGATAACAGTAGATGGATAAAAAGAGAAAAAATTTAAATCATATTCAAGTAAAATTTTGAAAAACTAGAAAAGAAAAATGAAACAATTTAACAAATAATAAAAATCGGTTCAAAGAGGAGGGAACAAAAAAGATAAAGAAATGGACCAGAAAGAAGGAACAACGATAAATTGGAATGCTAACGTAGGCAATGAGTATCGATCGTGGATCTTGCATATGGGAGTTGGGCACACTAATCACGACCTTAGAGTCCATTTGTCACTGCGGGTGCCACTCTTTATATATATNGGTACCATCAGGTAAGGGTTAAAGAGAAAGATATTCCGAAGACAACATTCAGGACTAGATACATGCACTTTGAGTTTCGAGTTATGTCGTTCGGGTTGACCAGTGCCCCAACGATATTCATGGACTTGATTAACTGTGTGTTCAGACCCTTTCTAGATCAGTTCGTGATTGTATTTATAGATGATATTTTTGTTTACTCCCGTTCAGAGGCTGAGCATGCAGATCATTTACGTACTATACTCAGAGTTCTACAAGAAAGGAAGTTGTATGCAAAATTCTCTAAATGTGAATTATGGTTGAATTCTATAGCCTTCCTTGGTCATATTATTTCGGATGAGGGTATCCGGGTTGATACACAGAAGATTGAGGCAGTGAAGACTTGGCCTAGACCCACAACACCGACGGAGGTTCGTAGCTTCCTGAGTTTGGCAGGTTATTACTGGAGATTTGTAGAGAGTTTTTCTTCTCTTTCAGCACCATTGACAAGTTGACTCAGAAGGCAACTAAGTTTCAGTGGACTGATGCTTGTGAGCGGAGTTTCCAAGCATTGAAGGACAGATTGACTTAAGCACCGGTTCTGACACTTCTAGAAGGGACCGATGGTTATGCTATCTATTGTGACGCTTCAGGCATTGGATTGGGTTGTGTATTGATGCAACATGGAAAGATTGTCGCTTACGCTTCTAGACAACTAAGAAACCATGAGAAGAATTACTCGATCCATGATTTAGAGTTAGCCGCGGTGATTTATACACTAAAGATGTGGATGCACTATTTGTATGGCATTCATGTTGATATTTATACGGACCATAGGAGCCTTCAGTATATATTCAAGCAAAAGGAATTGAATTTACGTCAGAGGCAATGGTTGGAGCTACTGAAAGACTATGATGTTGATATTTTATACCATCCAGGGAAGGCAAATATAGTATCCGATGCCCTCAGCCGTAGATTTATGGGTAGCCTATTATATTTATAGCCAAAGAAGAGTGAGATAGCTCTTGAGATTCATCAGCTAACTAATCTTGGAGTTCGATTACTAGATTCAGGTGGTACCAGAGTTACTATTCAGGACACAACAACATCCTCTCTAACAGAAGTGAAGGAATGCCAGTATGAAGATCCTGTGCTAGCTTACTACAGAGATACAACCCCTAAAAAGGAGAAGACACCATTTGAGATTCAGGAGATGGAGTCCTCATATAACGAGGTCGATTATGTGTTCCTAAAGTGGCAGGGTTGCGCCAGCAAGTTATGGGAGAAGCTCACTATTCTCGTTATTCTATTCATCTAGGAGCGACGAAGATGTATTATGAGATCAGGGGAATATACCGGTGGGACAGAATGAAGAAGGATATAGTAGAGTTTGTTGCTCAGTGCCCTAATTGTCAGTAGGTTAAGATTGAGCATCAAAGACCCGGTGGATTATTGCAGGCTACAGAGATTCCGACTTGGAAATGGGAAGTAATTAATATGGATTTCATCATAGGCTTACCTCGTACTCAGCGTAAGTTCGATTCTATATGGGTTATTGTTGATAGACTTACAAAATCAACCCATTTTCTTCCTATCAGGACTACGTATTCAGCAAAGGTCTATGCAAGGCTTTACATTAAGGAGATAATACGACTTCATGGTGTCCCTATATCTATTATCTCAGATAGAGGTGCTCAGCTTACAACTAATTTCTAGAGGTCCTTCCAAAAAGGATTGCTGACTCAGGTAAGTCTTAGTACAACAATTCATCCTCAGACAAACGGTCAGGCTGAGCTTACTATTCAGACACTAGAGCCTATGCTACGGGCTTGTGTTATGGACTTTAGGGGTAGCTGGGATGATCATCTTCCACTTATTGATTTCGCATATAATAATAGTTATCATTCCAGCATTCAGATGGCTCCATACGAAGCTCTTTACAGATGAAAGTGTAGGTCTCCTATCGGATGGTTCGAGATTGGGGAAACTAAGTTACTAGGACCAGAGTTGGTACAACAGGTAGTTGAGAAGATTAAGCTTATAAAGGAAAGGCTATTAGCAGCTCAGAGTCATCAGAAGCCCTATATAGATAATCGACGACGAGACTTAGAGTTTCAGGTAGACGACTGGGTATTCCTAAAGGTATCACCGATGAAAGGCGTTATGAGATTTGGTAAGAAAGGAAAGCTTAGCCCTTGATATATTGGACCTTATAAGATTATACGTAGAGTAGGCCAAGCAGCATATGAGTTAGACTTGCCTTCCAACTTGGAGTCTGTACATCCAGTCTTTCATGTGTCTATGCTACGTAAGTGTATTGGAGATCCCTCTTAAGTCATTCCGGTTGACGATATTCAGGTTATAGAGCAGCTATCATATGAGGAAGCTCACATTGCTATACTAGATAGACAAGTTCGGAGATTGAAAACTAAGGATGTAGCTTCGGTTAAAGTACTTTGGAGAAACAATAATGTGGAGGAGATGACTTGGGAAGATGAAGAAGAAATGAATACTAGGTATCCTTACTTGTTTCAGCTTCCGAAGGAGGATCGGACTGAGACATCATAGCCTTTAGGCACATATATGATACTTGATTATTATGTTAGTTATTGTTATTGGTCATGTGAGGCCATTGGTGTTATTGATAATTGTGGCCCGGTGTGGCTTTGTATTGTTGGATTTTCTGTGTGACAGGTTGGTAGTAGTACCGCTACAGAGGAGACTCTGCCAAAATTTCTATAGATTTCTCGGAGTTTAACATTCGAGGATGAATATTTCTAAGAGGGGAAGATTGTTACACCCTGAGCGTCCAAAGGTGACGTAATAAATATGAGACTTGTTAATCATGATTTAAATGAGTTTAAAGTCATAATATGGCTATATATGATTTTTTGGATAGAAAATATAAAGTTTGGAAAAAATCAAATTAAAGTTGCGGGAAAACCGACTAAGGATTTGCCTTGTAACAGAGCTTTTTGAGCAATATATTTCGTGTGCTATATGGGGTATTTTTGGGACATATTATATACCAAATTGAAGGGCTTGGAATTTATTTTCTAACGCTCTTAACCGTTCATTCGTACGATATCCGAATAAAAAGATATAAGCATCTAAAAAAGAACCAATGCGAGGATGCCAAGTAGTACCTTTTTGACTTTTAAAAAAAAAGGATATTTACATCCCTTATCTCTCTTTCTTCATTTTTTCAGAGAGCACGACCAAATAACAGCCCTAACCTTACCCCTAAGCTCTCTACAAGGGCTTCAAACAAGCTTATCATCCCGGGCACGAAATCAAGAAGTGATAACATCAAAACGATCCCTACGACGTAAGTATCGCTATATCGCTTCTTTTTTTTTTGCAGTTTGAGTTTTGAAATGCATTTAATAGTTAAGAAAATACCTACTTTCTGTATTTAAGCTTTTAAATATCAAAAAAGGTTGATAAATTTATTTTCTAATAGTTAGAACTGACGGGACGGTGATCGAAAGCCGTGAGTTCGAGTTATTTGACTTGTAGTGGACTGTTTTGTGTTGCTTTTGGGCTGTCTATTTTTCTAATGTTTAATGGAATTTTGAATGATAAATGATGTGGAGAAACACCACATAATGGAAAAATGATGGATTAGTCGTTCTTT